ACAAGGAGATAAACAAGCAGGTAAGCATATCCATCTGATTCCGAGATACAGCAGGCAGAACATTCAACTGTGGAAGTTTATGAAGTTATGGAATTACAACTTTATCATTGTTTGTGGACTTCATAAGAAACAAGAGCACCAGAGCTCACTGAAAACTTTAAACAATAGCAACAAGCATAAGAACATGGAATTTTCTCCTGCTACCTAAATGACATTTTTAAATCTGAGTTCAAGCAAATTTTAATTTTGTTTAATTTCCTTCACCAAACTCCCATCACTCTATTTTCTGAAAATCTGGTACCATATTAGTCATCTAGTTTGCATTTTGATTGTACTAATTCCTTAAAAATTCAGCCTATTGGAGGTCTTTTCCTCTCTAACCTACCTAACGTAAAGAACAGTAACTCTGAAGGATTTATCAATGAATATTAGGCAGTTACCACATCTGTCATCCAGGCAATGCTATACTTTGGTTAAATAATAAGGTTCCCCCTATATACACTATATACAGCTGTTAGGATGTTATAGTTACTATGGTTATATGTAGTTTTATATATATTTATATAGTTATTAGGATGATATAGGTGACATCCCAAGGCACATCAGCTATTTCTGAAGTTCCTTGATTAACTTTCATTGAGGACAATGTGACACATGAGGTTTAATTCTTTTCTTTCTTCAGTACATCAGTCATTACAATGAACTAATACAAGGAAGAGTGAATGGCACAAACACACCCCAGTTCCACTGGGCACTAACTCATCCCTGCCTCTTTCCCTGCACAGGGATAGGGAGCATTTCAAACTAATGGGTCCTTTTTCCTACTCTAACTCAGCACCAAATCTCAGTCAGACACCCCTGAATCAAACAACAGGGAAGGGAAGAGCGAATTTCATCATTCTGGTTTGGCTGCCTGTGATGCAATAAACTCCCTCTCAGAGAAGACTGGACATGTGTGGTCATGGCAATTGCACATCCGGAATGTCTGATGGAACAGAAACAACATCCTGATTCCAGACAGACCTCAAATGTGCCCCCACCATCCAGAGGGAGATTTGGCTCCTTTCAAGTGGCCATTGCAGGGCTCCCTTCCTGTCCTCGCTCAGTCTCTCCATGTTTGCCCTTCCCTGCCAAACATCTGCACACCCCAACCTCAGAATTCCAACTGCTAACAGAGTTAGCTCTAAAAATAGTGTGATAGACAGTTTTAGTTGTACATCACCCAGTCTGTAAGTCAGGTTTATGGTATAGCACAAGTACAGCTGTTGGTGTACAATTAGCACAAAGAACAAGATTTACCATCAATCTTATTAACCATGACAGCATATTTGGTAAATTAAAAACCTCTGGGTTTACAAAACACTTAGATCTGTAAATTATGCACAAAGGTATTGAAATAATGATTCAAATACAGTTAAAATCTAATTCATGACCAATATTGGAACGTAGCTAGAATGCAAAAGTTTGGCAAATGAGACAGGCATTGGGAAATCATTTTGAGAAACTTCTAAGTTACTTATAGGTATCAGTCACTGAAAGAGCAGAATGCTTTGATCTATTGTATCAAAAGGCTTCTCTTTCCTCCAGAGAACCAAGAATTACCAGATGGCTGCAACAGCAAACCTTTCCAAGCTTTAAATGGATGACAAAATATCTCTCCAAAATCTCTGGTGAATCATTAGTCAGCTCCAGCAAACTTTAAGTTGACTACTGAACTTCAAAGTCAGCAGACGCTGCAGATTATAAAGTGAAAGCCAGTAAATTATTCATGGCTCAGCACTTATAACAACCAACAAGTATTTGATACATCAAGAAAATTCAAATTATCAAATGCTACATGTTAAATGGCATCATTTTCTATTGACTCCAGAAACTTTATATATAGATACAGATGCAAAGTACAGACCTGTTTTTCAAGAAGGGATAAAGTTTGTAATTATTTTCTTCTGAATGGCAACGCTTGTCTCAGTTGCCAATCTTGAAACAAATGGAAAAAAAGAAAATAACGAACCATATTTGAAATTATATAATGGAACAGTTAAAATTAAGATACTACAAACACACCAAACACTTGTCATACTTCAAAGAACAGTACAGACTAAATGCCAATAGAAATAATTGAGAGGAACAGAAGAAAGTGGAAGAAAAATGTACATTGTTTATATTAACAGATTTGATGATCTTACAGAAGTTTCTAAGCAATTTTTATTTTTATTCTGATGACATTTCATTCCATGCAAATAGTAGCTTTTATCTGAGAGGAAATGAAGTGTTTCCAGTCAGTGTGGCTGCAAGAAGCAACTCGTGATTCGTAAGTACCGTAACCGAAAGGCAAACAAAAAGAACAGCAACCTTTCATTTCATGCTTTCAAACACCAGTCTCAAAATTTGCACTGAATATTGTTTTTAGAGGTGTGATGGTCAAAACTGAAACCTGAGTGCCTGATTTGATGGGAAAAAACATTTGTCAAAAATCAATAGGAAAACATTTCACCGAAAAATTAAAGGCAGAAACAGATGCACTCATTTGATATCCCCTATAATTCTAGAATTCAAAAACTCTTCATTTTTACAAGCTGTTTTTAATGTCTGCATTCTTACTGAAACAGTCTGATGACATTCATTGTGTCACTAAACAAAGGGCTTTAAATGCTCTCAGAATGTTGACGGTGTATTGTTGTACAGTAACGGCATCTAATTCAGAACATGCTTTCAGAAATCAAATTGTTTATACAAATACATCAAACACTTTATAGATTCTGCATGTTGAAAGGATAACCAGCCATGTAACATAAACAGAATAAAAACCAACACAGGGCTAAGTCAGTCAAGGGAAGTCATCTGCTCATAACCTGTTCAAACCTTGAAATAAGCACATATTAGATGGTGAACTATTTTTGCAAATCACCCAAATAAGGACTTTTTATTGCTATACTGATTTTTACAATCAGTGGGCTCCTACGTGGTGCTCTCATTTCTTTAAACTGCATCACTTCAAACGGCATAAAACCAGCCCTTATAAACAAAAAATCCTTGGGCTGCTGGGGATAAACACGGTGAGTTTGTGTTCGGTGACACCACTCCAAATGTGCTGCATCATTAAAGCAGACAGGGCTGGAGAACCAGCTTCCCATGACACGTATTAGTGTTTCCCACTTCTGGGATTACTCGGCAGATGTGGGCTGCAGGGTCAGAATTAATTGTAGCTTAGCTAAAACAGAAACATCTGATGGTTTGGCTGGATTTGGGGCTGGGCGGGAAGGAGCCGAGCTGGAACTGTCACCCTGCTTTTCCTTCCCACCAGGAGAGCTGCAAACACAGGTGACACCCCCAGGGTGGCAGCAGGAGTTTGCCATCTCTGCTTCATCTCAGAATGGTCTTTGTGGCACCAAAAGCTTGGGGACTTTGTTTATAAGCCTTGCTTTGCTTACAATCAATTTGAATAAAGTCAATTTTGAACCGTGTTTCCCGGTTCTACTGGGAGAGAAGCGTGTCCTACACTGCACAACTTGAGTTCTTCAGGATAAACACGTAGGGACTGTTTCTTTCTACTGTTTCCTCCTCCCTGAGAAGTGGGCTAATTAATCACAGTGGTAATTAGTTATAGTCTCAGATGATGTCAACAGTTAAAAAAAAAATAGACTATATCCCAGTGACCACTCAAAGATGAATTTGGAAGCCCTTTTTTGGCGTTGTGACATAACTGATAGGAGGCAGCATCAATCTCCAGGTGGCAAAAGCAGAGCCAAGAGATTTTGGGGAAAAAAAAAATAAAATAAAACATACATAAGGACCTTATGTGAAATATCTTGCCTTAAAACAAAGAGGAAAATTTCAATATTTTCCATTCTTTTTCTTTCTGAAAATCAGTAAATGTTCTACACTGAATCCAGCGATTCAAACATCTACAGCGTTAAGTATAATTATGTATTGTCACTGGCCTATGCACTGTGCCAACTATATTATGACAAAATTCACTTTTTCCAGGCTTTTCAGAAAAAAAAGTTTGTTCTCCTCCTTTATCTTTCTGACCCCAAAGAAAATGATGTGTCTTCCTTCTGGTTGTACTTTTACCACCAATGACTTTCAATATTTTGACTTTTTCTGTTCTACAGCAATAATTGACCTTTTATTTGTCAGGATACAGTCAAGCTGCACAGAAATAGTGTTTCCCTGGTTACTGCTCAAAGCAAGGTGTTTTTTCAACTCTCTGTTTCAAGGGTGTTTATAAACCATCAGGTCACCAGTGAGTGGTTTTACTGTCATGAGATTAATCAGAAGGTCACCTAATGAGAGGAACTGGTAATTGTAAAAGGATTCCTCACCAGCTGATTCAGAAGCAGAGCATAACAGATCAGAGAGGAGGCTCCAGAAGGAGCCACAAGCAAGATCCCTCTAGGAATTATTTATGACACAAGTCCATTCTTCAGAATGCTCAAGAAATATGATGCAAATGCCAGGGAAAAGAAAAAAAGGTATATTCCACTTTTGACCTTTTCTCTCTTCTGGATAAGAACTGCTTGGTTCTGGAAATTGTACAAGGCTTGTACTTTGTCAAGAAATTAATTTATGAAAGTTGTAGAACAGTTTTGACAAATAAATCCTTCTTGTTAAAGGGTTATAGCCATCAGCTAACATCACCTAGATCTTTTAAATTCCCTGCTTTCAAAGATCTATGGGGTCACTCTGCCACAGTAAAGAGGGAGCAGCAAATCAAGGGCAAGGGTAACTTGCAGATCAATCCTCAAAAATAGCTGTACTAAATTATACATAGATTCAGCAGGAATTGGACAACCTAAAATGCATTCAGACTTTCCAAAAGCAGGGAGGAAATTCCCCCTTTTATAACCTGAATATGGGTTATATCTAACTAATCTTTCACAAGTGGTTGGCTTGCTTTTTTTTTAGGAGTATAGTTTATGAATGAGAAATTCCTAAAGGGAGGAGTGTTTAATTTTCTGGTGTCTGAGTGGAAGAAAGGAAGTAGTTATCTGAAAATGGAATCAATAAGCTATAGGCACATTAAGATCACACTGAGAGGTTCCCATGCCAAGCAAAGAGGTGTAAGCAGAGAACAAGCCTTTAGAACAAACCTTTGATAAATGTGCTCTGACAACACATGAAACTCGGATGCAACATCAAGGCAGCATTTTAGACTCTTAACAGATGCAGATGGACAGGATATTAAACTTAAGAAATGATGGGAAAAAGAAAACAAGAAATACTTGTGAATGATTCAACCCTTAGGAAAACATAAAAAAAAAAAAAATCTAAGGAGTTTGAAACCTGATGGAGCTGTGTATGATACTGGAGACTTCCAAATTAAGGACTAATATGCTGTTGTTAAAGCACATAATTGCAAGAGATCCACCCAAATCAACAGATTAAAATAAATTAACGAAGACAACTCCTTCAGAAAACCCTCAGTATGTGCCCAGGTAAAGGACCTGAATGTTTTTAGCAACGTAAGAATCCTGCAGTGCAAACAGAGCCCTTCAGTTCATCACCCACAGTCAGGCTAAGCAGCAATTACTTAATCTAAACATCTGAACTGGGCTTGGAGAACTGCTCTATCAGGTACAATGTTGAAAAAGAGGCCTAAATTGCATGAGAGAATTAAGCTTAATTTGGGTTGTCAATCTGTGCTGGTCTGATCCCAGTTCCGGAGGAGGTTTTGTAGCCCACGTATTGAAAGGAGCCGTGGAGCTGGAGCTCAAACAATTGCAAAAAGCAAGTTTTTCCTTGGGGCAAAGTCTCCAAGTAACAGTGCAATCTCACCATTGTTTTGAAAGGATATACACCATGTCCCTGCCTGTGTCAGGACTGATCCAGAAAAACAGAAATAGCAGCACAGTATTTGTTCAAGATAATAAAAAAGATAAGCTGAGATTCCAACAAGCTGCTTTCACCCTTTTGTTGTAAAATATTATTGTAAAAACGATGGTATTTTTTTCAATCATAGCTAGGAAGCAATGATGAAATACCCTTCTCTGCAGCAACCTGCTTTCATGACACTTGGGGCTGGGAAGGGTGAGCAGCCATATTCACTGGATAGCTGAGCACATTCCCAACCTACCTGAATGCCATTAATTTGTAATTGCAAATTTTAAGGACATTTCCTAGGGCTCAGACGCAGGTTAACACATTATTGTGCATCACCTGACCACCGGTAAGTGGGTGCAAGTAAAGATTATTTCCTTACCTGGCCCTCACCCTGAGCTATAAACAACAAAAGTTAGGGATTATGAGAGGGATTCATGAGGAGAAGAATTGCCTTGTAGGTGCTGTACTAAACTGGAACACGGGACATTCTCTGTGGTTGCAGAAAGTCAGTGCTGGGATTTAATTTCTTGCCCTGGTGGAAAGACAAAGGAACTAGCACATAGCCTATGCAAAACACTCTGCACATCTGAATTGTTTATTTTGTAATTATCAAATGCTACTGTAATAGGTATCAAAACAATTAGAATGATTAGAGGTTCATAATACATACAAGGGCTTGCTTGAGGCCTGCTAAGAAAAAGCAGTGATGACTAAAGCTTCCAAAAATCTAAAGATCACCACCAGTAACACAACGATATAATTTTCTGAAGAAATCACAGCCAGTAATAAAAAGGCTTGAGGGTTTTTTTCAGACCTTTAACTCGTTAAACGATTTTCACAGGTTTTCACATACATGCTGTACACGCTCCATTTTAATATTAATGAGCCAAACTTTAAAGTATCAACAAAAGGTCATCAAGTATGTACTGGAAGCTACTGAGGGATATGTTCAGCATGAAAAGAACCACCATACAGAAGGGCTGAGGAGCTTAGTAACGTACCTTCTGATTTTATGTTTCTGCATATGCTGGTCATGACTAGAAAATTAAGTGAAATAAAAATTAAGGCAAAAAGACACCACCCTCAGTATCTTCTGAAGAAGGGAGCAGCAGTTCCCCAGCACATGATGCACCAGGAAGATATTTCCCAAGTTTATTGTACAACAGCTGCAGGGATGGGCCGACTTCCCTCTCCCAAAAACAGAACGGGGAAGTGAGGGCAGGTCCTGCACAGGAAACTGTTCCCTGTCCCCCAACTTTGCAATTGTTTTGGATTCCTTTTAATTCTAAAAGACAAGGTCTCACCTGCTCAGAAATTCACTCCCTGCCCTCCCTCCCATGAAAACATTACCTACCACATGCAGCTACTGCAACTGAAAACCAAACCCAACATCTGCAGCACGTTTCAATATAAAATATTTGCAGATGCTAAATCTTTATGCCAAAATAACTTAACAGATTGAAGATGCATTGATTACAGATGCTCATACTTTAACACAAATACATAAAGCAAAAGTGGTTTTTATTTGCAAAAAAACCCAAAGTAATATCAAGCCAAACTTCTTAATAGTGCTAAACTTGCTTAAGTGGTTGAAATGTTGCATTTTCCAAGTACATAAAAGAAGTACTTTTTAACTCTGTGCTTTAACTAATTTGTCTAAGCTAAGCCAGGAAAGTTGCAGAACTGCAAGAAAGCTTTTTCAGAAAAACCATAAGAAAAAAAGTGATTCACTGCTGAAAAAGGCACATTACAAAAGTGACACCCTTTGCACAAAATCCTTCTATTAAGTGGGAGTATATATGTCAACACAGGGCAGAGGGAGAGGAGAGTTCCACAAAATATTCAATGCTTTATCTACAAAAGTACAGGGAGGGAAACAGATGAGTCTTTCAAGTGAATAAGTAATGCTCTAAATCTCATTGCTGAAAAAGCAGAATCAGGTGACGGAGAATACATCACATTTCGAAATGATCAGCACAAACCTCAAGCAATTACCAGCTGGCAAGCAAAGGAATATAAGGGGTTTTTTGATATCCACGGAAAAGAATTCTTTTCATCTGGCATTGAACAGAGTATGCAATAAATAGACTTTGTGCATAAAGAAAAATGGATACAAAAGGAATAGGAGAAACAAGCCATTTATAAAAATATGTAAAATATTAACACAGTTGAACACTGAAGGGTTGGCGACAAGCAACAACAAGTTGTGAAAAGTATCACTGATTCCTGGTGGTGTGTTTGTCACCAGAAAGGCTGCTTGGGCTAAAACTTAACCTGCTAAGGAAGTTATTTTCCCATTTTCCTGTCCTTGCCCCTGTCTGCCTCCATCTTACTTCTTCCAGAACTGAACAGGTATAACTGTCCCCCACCTAAACCAGCATCGATTCAACATCTGTTTTAAAATGCACCCTAAAAACTACTGAGACTGACAGAAATAAATAGGAAGAGACTACTCCTATATCTCTCCTGGCACACCAAAATGGTAA